TTTAATATCCTGGGGGAAAAAATAGGGTATGATTGTCAGCAGACTAATTACAAAAGGTATACTGAGCCTTGTGTGAATTGCAGCTACAGTTCTTTCAAAAATCGCATTCACTTATTTTTATTAGTCAGTGCCAAATTAAATTTAATTGAGGTGTCTCTTTAAAAAAAATGCGTGAAATTCCCCTTGTAATTCATTTTTTGAGTCCCTGGATTTCCTGCTCCTGTAGTTTCCCGCTTTACAGTCACAGGCATCATCAAATAAAGCATAATAAGAAGGCATAATGAAATCGCTGTGATAATAAGATAGCATACAAAAAACCCTTTTTTTAAGTTGGGTCTGCACATAATTTGCAGTTCAGCTGATGTTTTTCATGAGAAATATAAATCCTGTTTAGAGGTTTCACACATCAAAATAAGATTAGTAGTCTTATGACTACTAAAGTATGAAATTCAGGTGCTGTCAGGGTGACCTTCGGCTGAGCTTCACAGCGTTTGGCTTTCACATCTGCCTTGCTAATTAAGTCTAATGTGTGGGTGGGTGTTTGAAATTAGATAAAAGTAATTTCTTCCTGCTTTGTCTCTTATTTTTTGCATATTTTTCACAATTACATGTTTCACATCATCAAACTCATTTTAACTGAGTCAGGTTAGGCCTGCAGTTCTTAAAGATGCTGTTCTGGGTTCTTTTGTGACCTCCTGGATGAGTCATTTGTTTTGGTAGGTCACTCACTCCTGGGAACATTCACCAGGGTTCCTAGTTTTCTCTGCTGGTGGATAACAGCTCTCGCCATGGTTCACTGGAGTCTCAAAGAGTTTGAAGTGTCTTTGTCTCTCTCAGCTGTTTCTTATATTGTGGCATAATGTGTTGAGGTGTTTTATCCTACTTCACTTTGTCAGACAGGTTTTATTCAAGTGATTTCTTCAGTCAACAGGCCTGTAATCAGGCCTAGGATGTGCCTAGTAAAGCTGAACACAGGGTTCCAAAAATGTGCTAATCACAGTCATGATTTAACAAGAGATCGATTTCTTTTTCACACAGGGTCGGGTAAATGGTAAAATGGCCTGTATTTGTAAAGTGCTTTACTAGTCCCTAGGACCCCAAAGCGCTTTACACATCCAGTCATCCACCCATTCACACACACATTCACACACTGGCGATGGCAAGCTACATTGTAGCCACAGCCACCCTGGGGCGCACTGACAGAGGCGCGGCTGCCGGACACTGGCGCCACCGGGCCCCCTGACCACCACCAGTAGGCAATGGGTGAAGTGTCTTGCCCAAGGACACAACGACCGAGACTGTCCAAGCCGGGGCTCAAACCGGCAACCTTCCGATTACAAGGGGAACTCCCAACTCTTGAGCCACGACCGATATTCATATGAATATATGAATATAAGAAATATGAGATAACAAAAGGTTTGGATAACTTTCCTCCTCATCAAGAAATTATTTAAACAACTAAATTTTTGTTATTTATTCAGGTTATCTTTGTCAGATGTTAAAATTTGAATATGTACACACAGAAAAGTGACCGACAATTCATTTTTGGAATATTCAGAAAAACTGAATAAATGTCAGAACTGTTTCTGAGCTAAAGACTTTCTGTGAATACCTCCTCAGGAACTCAAGCTTTGAAACTCAGCTTTTGACAGGACTTTCAGTCTCTTCATGAAGCTGACAAAATAAAACCTTGAGCAAACACAGTCGAGAGTACAGCTATCGAACTCCAGCTGTTATTAAGCACTCACGTGGCATTTTATAGGTCGGTTGTGTTTCTTGGAATTCTTTTTAATGGGCTCCTTTTCTCTGTTTATTTAGTCTTTGTAAGTGTTACTTGAGAAATTCCCACATGAATCTGAGCCTGTTATGATCATATTAAAGAGCGGCAGCTGATGTTTTCTCTTAATATTTTGTTTCTAAATATTAAGTATCATTGTAATTTCTAAAGAATGTCACGGCTGTCTTTCATGTCCTTTATTCAGCATTTTAGCTGAATGGGTGTGTGCTATTTTTTTCCCTTTTTGCTCTACTAGCGATGGAACCTGCTGTGATAGTGTAATTTAACCTCATGTCCACTTTAAAGTACAAAACCTAACAAAATTTTATCAAAGCTTAAATAATTAGTTTGAGTTTTAAATTACAGTTTTGGGCTCAGCTGCGCAGACTTTACTCCCTCTTGAGAGTGTGGTGGCAGTCGTGCATGTGTTTGTTTAAATCTTATCTTTGTAACCTTGTGTTGTCCTTATTGCAACCTTTTCAGATGCATTTAAACAGATGATTTTAGTTTTTAGTATTATTACTGTAGCTATTAAAGTGCAAAATACTCAGAGAGCTATTTCTGCATGGTTGTAGTTTGTGTGATGGTTTATTGCACATAACGTGTCAGACATTTCATTGCTTTCTCTCCGTTTTTTTCCTCTTTGTGCAAAACGTACGTTTGTGTTTTTCTTACAGCCACATTTGATGGGTTGTGTTACAGGTCCCTGAGGAGCAATGAGATCCGAGTGTTGTCCGATTTTGTTTTCTCAGAATACTCTGCCTTGGAGAGACTGTGAGTATTTTTATGCCGTTTTTATGTGTTTTTGTTTTTTCGCGGTCTGTTTCTGGGCAATTTAGTTTTTAGTAACTGCAAATGTCAAATCACTTTTATTTGATTTTATCCTTTCTGTAGAATCTGTAGTAATAGTAGCTCAGAAATGACAACGGCTCAAGGACTGTATTGATTTCTACACTTTTCATACACGTTTTCATTTAGTAGTTTGGTAGAGCGGCCTTATAGTGTGACATACTGGACCTGAGCATCCAGTTTTTCCAGTAGATGACTGCTCCATCTACTTGTCTGTTGACAAGAAGATACATTTTCTGTGTTATTTCTTAATAATCATGTAATAAAGTGTAACAATAATATTTCTCTAACAGGTGAAAATAGGATTTTAAGAGCATATGAAAGTTTTCTGTTTTTCCTATGGTCTCAAACATGGTTTGAAATAAAAGAGCATTTGTTATTTTTATTCTGTTCTGTTTTCAGGTTTCTGCAGAACAACAGCCTCCACTTCATATCTAAGCATGCATTCAGCGGTCTGCACAATCTAAAGAGGTTGTAAGTACCCTGCCTCGTTTCCCCTGAAGCAAGTGTATTAATTTTGTTTTCCTTCAGTTCTCTTTTGTGTTACAGGTCAACTTCAATTAATTTGTTTAACCTGAGTGGTGCTCATTTCTTAAACGGAGAAAAGCAGTTGTAATTTGTGTTTTGACTCCAGGCTTTTCTGTGGAGTCTGCGGGAATGAGCAAAACTGTGCATTAAAAAAGAGAGAGAGAGAGAGAGAGAGAGAGAAAGGATCAAGGTGGCTTTTTTTTTGCAAGCCAAAATTTCTGTTTCTGTGTTTAGTTTATGAAATGTCAACAAATAAAACTGTGGAAAAAATGCCATCATTTATTTAAACTGTCTAAAGATGACTTCAATTTTTGTCTGACCAAAAATCATACCCAAAACTATGGGTATGTCCTATGATTATACCTTTGCTGTATTTTGTTACTTTCAAATGTAGTCATTATAGTTGTCTTTTTTTATGACCAAACTTTTTGTGCTTTTCATGCTTTCTCTCAGGTTTCTCAGTGAGAACTTAATCTCCTTCCTCAGTCCCGGTGTGTTCGGGGATCTAAATCAATTGGAGTGGCTGTAAGTAACTCAAAAGCATACGGATGTGCACTTTCAATAGTCACAAATATATGAAAGTTATCCAAAGACTGTAACGTTCTGTTAATTTTGCTTTTAATTTTAAAGGTTGAGATGCAAAAGTTGTCCATTTGATCCATAGGTTGGAAACAAATCCACTAGCTGGATATAAAATTATTTATTTAAGCAGCAGAGTGGAGAAGTGGAAATGGTGCAAAAATAACAAGTTTAAACGGTGCACAGATGTGTGGATTGAGCTTTTTTCTACCCGTGAAATCTTACTTGACTCAAGTAGTTTTTTTCCTTTTTTCTAAATTCTTCTGTAAAACACAAGAGCTAATGTTGTATGCTGCTATTGTGAAATACTGAAAATCACATTTGTTTAAAAATCATATTGGGTCACATTTGTAACATTTATCTAAAGAAATCGTAATCACCAATGATTTATTTAATGCGATTAAGCAGTCAAACTAGGTAATCTTGTTTTGTGTGTCAGGATGTTGGACCATAACCCGCTAAGCAGCTTGTCCCAGGACACCTTCACTGGGCTCCAGTCTCTCATGTATTTGTGAGTTGCATTTTTCTTTTAATATTATGTAATAATTTTGACTTGGATTTGTTTCTAGTCTAGGTCTACTCTGAGGTCTTCACTTACAAAATCAAAAGTCTTAAACTCTTGCAAACCTGAAAACACTCAGTAGGAAAATAAACCTTACTTTGCAGCACATGTAAAAAAAAAAGTGTTTATCATCTTACAAAAGTAATTGTGGGGCGATCGTGGCTCAGGGGGTTGGGAAGTGTATCTGTAACCGGAAGGTCGCCGGTTCAATCCCCGGGCTCTCTGTCCTGGTCGTTGTGTCCTACCGCCTACTGGTGTTGCCCAGAGGGGCAGCTGTGGCTACAACCGTAGCTTGCCTCCAGCAGTGTGTGAATGCGAGAGTGAATGAATAGTGGCGTTGTAAAGCGCTTTGGGTGCCTTGAAAAGTGCTATATAAATCCAATCCATTATTGTGCATTGCACTGAACTTTACGTATCTTTAAATATGCTACAATGAAGGCTAATTGCAAGAGGAAAGGTGAGAGTAAATC